CTGGCTGAATGCGGTGAATAGAGAAGCAGTGTGGGAAACTCAGAGGAACTCCAAACTCACACAGTCTGAGGGCCTGTAACATACTCTTGTCCTCGGTCCCACATCTGCCTGTAGTAGACACAAGGAGAGAGAATGACAGAAAGAAAAATCCCATTATAAAAAACTGCAAGGGTGGTGGTTGAGGGGAAAGCCAGTGAAAAAAAATCCAGAAATTGCTGGAAATTCAAACGGGGAGCTTGGAGTAATATATAAACCCTCCTCACTCACAAGCAGCAGCACAGGGAATGACTAGGGGAAAAGGGCAGACCTAGGGCTCGATCCCACACTCATTCAAACCCATAGAAACAGCCCCATTGAGTTCAGTGGAGCTGTACTGCTGGGCCTGTATTAGGTTCTCTGATCCATGCCTGCATACTGCCTAGTGCTTTGTCTGCTCCAGAGTATGCAGTATGGGCTCCTGGGTTTTGCAAACGACTTCCTCGGTGCAGCTCTGTATGTCCGCTCTTAGCGGCGAGAGCGAGAGCTGAGGCCACAGCAGCGACAGCATTCCAGGTGTCTGACCCCTTTCATGCAGAGCTCTCGAAGCCCTTTGCTAATATTAATAAACCAGGCCGCTTGGCCCTCTTGGAAGTGTTATTCTCCCTGTTTGACCGTTGGAGAAACTGAGGCACAGAGGAGTGAAGTGTTTTGCTTAAGGCCACACAGTCCATGACAGAGCCCAGACGTCCAAACTGCCAGTCCATTGCTTTAACCACTCCCAGCTCTGCCAGGACAGCTGCTGTCATCAGGGAACAGTCTGAACAAACGTCACTACCCTCGGCAGATCCGTGTGTTAGCAGTTGTGAATGTTGAGGCACTCGTCCACTGGCTTTGCACCATAGTTGGGGGCTCACTGCGTCCTTACCCAGTGAACTCAAATCCACAAAGTTCTCAAAACCCAGTCAAAGCCGAGTCATCTTTCATGTGGAGGCCATCCCTGCAAAACCACAAACTGAGCCCAGATGCCCTCGTGACTGGGCCAAAGTTTGTGAGTTGTAGCAAAACAATTGCCAGATGCGGGCTGAGTCCTGAGTTGGCAGCGGAGGCCAGAGCCTGATAGGGGCAGTTTTGCTGTGGAGGTTTTGCAGCTCTCTGATTCACAGAGCCAGAGAGGAAGGATGGCTGTGTGAGCAATGGGAGTCCTCTGGACTCTTGCCACATCTGACATGCTTCCTGCATGAACTTTAAAAAGTCACTGAGGGCCTGATGGGTTGGGTTTTTTTCTTCTTCAAAGTAGATGCCCACTTGTATGTCTGCTTTACATTTGTGCTTACTGTGTGTGACAGGCCAAATACGGATTTGCACATGCAAGCAACTATTTAGCCACCTACATGTGCAAATCATGTGATTTGGACACACACATACACGGTAAGTACACTCAAAAAAGTAGGCCCAGATCTTTATGAAAATCAGGCTCTTAGCCTATTGGCTCCTCAGTTATCCTGTGAAATGGGATATCCTACCCTATTTGTTCATAAATGCTTGAAAAGGGCTCTGAGCTGCTTGGATAAAAAGGCCTGATTCTGATTGCAGCTATGCTGGTGAAAATCAGGGATAATTCCCCGGAAGATGATGAAGTCACTCTGGATTTACATTGGTGTAGCTGAGATCAAAATATGTTCCTGGAAGTGCCAAAGGATATGGGTCAAGTCCATAAGTCTTGCTCAGGATTTACTCAGGCTGAAATTCCCATTGGCTTCAGTGAGGGTTTCTTCCCGGAAAGGGTTTCAGGATTTGGCCCAATAGGAGTTTTCCCTGAGTAAGGTCTCCAGGGTTCAGTGCTAACTTTGTATTTCCAAGTCCGCCAAGATCTTGCCGCCTTTCCCATCTCTCACACAGAGTTCCTTTTCTCCTAAGTACCCTACCATGGTAAGCGGCTTATTAACATAAGGCTGTGGAAGTTTGTGTACCTCCAAGTTTCCCACACCATTTCTTAACTATATTCATTCCCCACACAAAGGAAGTGTGCCTGGCTACAAACCACATTAGCAATGGTGCTTGACTTTGCATTGTGTTCAGTGGGAAACCCTACTCCCAAAAGGCCATCTGGGTAGCAATCAGAGCAGTGATGATCTCTGAAGACTTGGGAAAGCTGCAACTCCTTTAAAACGCCTTGAAAGCTAACATCTGGCAGAGATTCAGGAGGCGGGATAGTGTTTACTCCACATTTCAAGTATGGTACCTGTATGTAGGATCTTACGGTCATCATCTGTTTTCTTTCCAATGCCGTGTGCTCCGGTCCCACAGTAGAAAGCAATCATTCTGATGTTGGGACATAAATTAATTCCAAATTCATGATCCCTGGTGTAACTCCATTGACACCTGTAGCTTTACAGTGGGGATGAATCTGGCTCATTGCCCTTCTTTGGGATTTCCAAATCAAACTGGAGTTACAGCAGTTAATTCTCGTGTCATGCCAAAGTGACGGTCTCCTCCAAAGCTAGTTCTTCACTGGTTAGTTAATTTCCCTTGTTGATTGCGAAGCCACAGAGAAAACCATGGAGTCATTTCTTTTAGTTTATTTTTCCTGAGACTAGAACATTTGTTCCAGGAACTACGGTATCCTTGTTGTGTGACTCGGAGGGATGCAGGGAAAAACTGCTGTCAAGTCAGGGAGACTTTGCACTTATGTTACTTTACAGACAATAGATGAACCCCACAAACCAGTGAAACAGACTTACAATCATCCCTATTTTACAACTGAGGCCTATCGCAGTTAAGTGACTCACTCAAGACCACAGAGCTTATATCAGAGTCAAGGATAGAACTTGGGATTCAAGGGCTCCCAGCCCCAACCCTGCCATAATCAAACAGCTCTTGCAAAAAGGTCCATCAAATTTCAAACATACCTAAAAAACAAACAGAACTAGAAAGTATTTCCCCTGCAGGGCTTATTGGCAGAGTCCTTGGGGGAAATCAAGCAGGGATTGTATTCCACCCCGTTAATTTCCTGCAAGTGTTGATCAATTTCCAAAAGCCTTGGGGAGCTGGTGGGGGGCAGATATTTTGTTCTTTTTTCCAATGCGGCAAATTCTGCAGTCCTTAATTGAGTGCAATTACCATTGACTTCCATGGAACTATAGCAATTCAAGGTGGCAAGATTTGGCCCCATGTAATTTTTTGATTACTCAGGCTACCTTCAGCTGAGAAGTAAAACGTCTGTTTTCAAATTCTATTATTTTGAGAACACTTGTTGTATAAACAAGACCAGATCCTCAGCTGGTGCAAATGAGAGTAGCTCCATTGACTTCTGTGGAATTATTTGGATTTATACCAACCGAGGGGGCAAAAGTGACTCTAATTACCCCAGCACAGTCAACTGACAGCTGTGAGGATCTGGCCAGTTCTAACTGAGTCTGACCCCCTTGGTTCTCTGTTCGACAGAGCGTTCGGAGTCATAGCACCAGATCTCAGAAGTGGCCGGAAGCCCAAACTGAGATAAAAAACAGGCACATGCAGCACCGGTCACCTGTGCACCCCCACGTCTGTGCTAACAGGCTTTACCACTGAAAGCTCATTTGTCTTCCACAAAAATAAAAGTCCTGAGATGGGCCAGAAAACTCACAGGGCACAGAAACCCCCCCCCCCCCCCAAGGAGGGTAAGTGTGAAAATGCTTTGATTGTTCTGTACAACTGGTTATTACAGGGAGGGGCATCTGACACTTAAAATTGCTTTGTTAGATTCAAACGTGGGGCGTGCATGTGTGTGGTTGATGTTGCAGGGAGAATTTATAGCTCTTCCTGTATCTGGTTAGTAGTAAGCTCATCTGCAAAGCAGGAACAATCTCAGGCAAAGCCGTTAGTTGAGTATGCGGGCTGGGGAACTGGCAGGTTTCTCCCTATGTGTCATTGGCTAATCAGCCCTAGAAATGAGTTTGCTGCTTGAGAGTTTCTGTTTCAGAGGCTGTCCCCAAGAGGGGCGCGGGAGAGCAAACGATGGGGTTTCTAGGTGGCCTTACATGGGCTCAGAATTAATCCACGCGCTTTGGAGGAAACATGTGAGATGGTGTCACAAAACTTTCCCACAACTTGACATAAAAGACTCAGAGCTCAACAGCTGCTGTTCTGTACAAAAGAAGTGAGCCTATTCAAGGGCAGTACAATGGGGGAAGGAAAAGCAGATCCTGGAAGAGGTCACTTAAGCCTTACCTGGTTTTAAGAATAACTGAATTAGAAGAGAGGGCTAAGTGTGTGCATGTGTATTCACTTTCATAGACATTACACACAGTTTTATACCACATTCCAGGGCAGGATCCCCAAACTCTTAACAAATATAAACTGAGCTGCATAAGAGTAGTGAGAGAAGGGAATATTATAATCCCCTTGTCACAGATGGGAACACTGAGGCACAGAAAAGTGAAGTGACCTCATTCACACAGTGAATCTGTTCACACAGTGAATCTGGAACATATTTGGGAACAGAACCCCGTGCTTCAGCAGCCTGGCTCCATGCTTTAACCCTACCCTTGTAATGTAACTAATTGGAATGGAAGACATACTAAACATACAGATGGTGCAGAAATCAATCTGCTTCCATTTGGTACTCAGCTTATCTTTGTGTGAGTTAATTTAATGCTCAGAAAAGTGAGTGAGGACTCTTTGTTATTCAAGTAGACAGAGTGTAGTCAGGTGTAGTGCACTTTATTATTAATTATTATTATTATTTATTATTATATATTTATTTTATTTATTGGAAACACGCAGCTCTAAGAATACATCTTAATATCCTAAACAGCAGCATCTCTTGCTAGTGCAGTCCTGGGTCTCTCTAGAGCAGAGACTGCCAATAACATCAAATCCTAGTATGGATTGTAGCCTAGAGAAGGAGAATGGGAATCAGGACTCCTGGGTTCTATTTCCAGTTGTGTTTCTGACTTGCTGTGTGCCTCAGTTTCCCCATTGGTAAAATGGGGATAATCACACTAAAACCTGATTCATGGTGGGGATGGAGGGGAGTGGGTTGTGAGGTGAAATTAATGTTCATTATATGTTTTGAGATCCTTGGATGAAGGTAATGCATAAATGCAAAAGTATTACAGATATTCAGCATCCACTAAGATTTCCCTCTTTCACCTCTGGATTCTCGCTCATGTTTAAGAACAGATCAATAAAGTATTATTGTGACTATTTTTCCCATTTGGGGAAGTTGAGATGATGGGAAGGGAAGTGCCTAAGGTCACCCAGGACACCTTAGAACAGAACTCAAATCTACTTCCTCCCAGTCCAATGCTTAACCACCAGACTGTCCTTTGTATAAATAAGTAAATAACAACACTCTGTATAGCTGTGTGTACCCACAATGAAGTGCATTGTTTATCCTGAGCCAGACCCTGGAGTCCACACTCTGTTTTGAGTCAGGCGACACTCGCATTGTCAGCTGAGGAGGAACTTCAGAACCTGGCTTATTGTTATTAAAACAAACCCACCAAAAACAACAACCCGGGTTTTAAATTAGCCAAATAAAGTCTATAGTTTATTTTCAGCAACTAGTGAACCCAGCGGTCTCCGAGCAAGTGTGCTGCTTGCCTTCATCGGTGTGTCCATGGGTGTGTGCGCGCCCGAAGTGTGTGCCTGGGTGTGTATGTTTTCAAAAAATACAATCCCATCTTTTCCTCTGCACAGATTAGCTTCTTTCCCGCCATCAGCAACTGGCCCCCGCATTCACCATTGTATGTGAACTGAATATTGTGTGTGACCGGAAAGCTATTGATCTGCAGCATCAGTCAGCAGCCTTTTCTCACTGAGAGCCAGCTCTTTCCCAGTTTCTAACATGTAATTTGGATCCCAATCTTTCACGTACCACACACTCCCCACCTGCTCATCTGGGAGAAGGTCATTATCCCCCAGCTATTCACTGGCAATGGAGCATGCAAGAATAGATGCTTCGTCTATTGTCCTGCTTATCTCTGATTGGCTCTGGAGTGTGGGAAACTCAACCAAGTCAGAGACCCACAGATTCTCAACGAGGTTGTGCAGTATAAATATAGGGCAGAGTCAGCTTCCAGCAGCACACTTCCACAGGACTTCAGCACGACTGAGAGCTGCCTCCTCGGCTCAGGACAGATGGCCCCCAGCACTGTTTTCATGGAGCACAACAACCTGCTGACACCAAAAGAGAAAAACAAAGTAAGTACCAGCACAGTCTGCTTTGCTGACTGCTTCAGTGAACGAGATGGGGCTAGAGCCTCAGCTGGTACAAATAAGTGTAGCTCTATTTCTATGCTAATTTACACCAGCTGGGGATCTGGCCCGTACTACTTACATGCACTGAAGCTATGGACCAAACAGTCCAGAGATGTGGCCGAGTGAGGATGTTTTCTAAGCAAATCTTTTGTCCTGCTTTTTGCAGCTGAGGAAGCCGGTGGTGGAGAAAATGCGCCGGGACCGGATTAACAGCAGCATCGAGCAGCTGAAACTCCTGCTGGAGAAGGAGTTCCAGAGACACCAGCCCAACTCCAAGCTGGAGAAAGCCGACATCCTGGAGATGACTGTCAGCTACCTGAAACAGCAGAGCCAGCTGCAGATAAAGAGTGAGTAGCAGAGTTGGCTTCAGTCCTGGCTGTGTGCAAAGCAGCGATGTGCTGCATGAAGCTCCAGAGAGTGACATGAAGAATGAGTCTAAATCATGGTCTCTTTTCTCTCCCCTCTCTCTTTCCTTCTCTAGCTGCAGGAACCATCCATAAAAACTCTCAGTTCGACTTCAAGGAAGGCTACTCCAGGTGCCTGCAGGAGGCTTTCCATTTCCTGTCTCTCCATAAAGTCCAAACAGAAACGCAGAGCAAGCTCTTGAGTCACTTCCAGAAGAGCCAGTCGGCTGCGCCAGAGGTCATCTGCTCCCCTTCCAGCCAGAACACCCCAAAGCAAGCATCCCTGAAGAACGTTAATGCTCTCTGGAGACCCTGGTAGACTGCGGGGATGTGGGGAGGCAGGAAACGCTTGCTCTATGGACCTTTGTCTTTTATATTCCAGAGGATGGGAGTGACTGCATCTGATAGTCACATCCTGATCCTCTCTATGTAGGGAATATTATTTCCCGTTTTATTTATGTGTGGAAAGAATGGGATACTTTTGATTCTTCAGTTTCATGTGGGATCCTCTGGAAAAGGTTCAGGTATTCTGTTGAGTGGTATTTAAGCTGTGCAGACACTGGTGATAGCAATGTACACCAGGGCACCCAGTCTAGGGGTGCGTGTCTTCATAATGAAGGAGGTTTTTGTAGGTGGCTAAATGTTATCAGTGTTACAGTTGTGTTAAGATTGTAACAGATAGCGGTCTCTGTAGGAGAGAATTCTCTAATTTTGCTTGTAAAAGCTGTCAGCTTTGCTCCCACTTTCCTAGCAACCTTTGCTCACTCTTAATTTAGGACGAATGTAGTACCTCACTGTTGGTGGACGGTTTTACAAGTTCTCTTGCCCTCTGTTTGCTTGCAGCGCTTGCATAGCAGCAAAGATAGATTCCTAGCTTCTGTTCACACTTTAGGGCTAGCAAGAGGTCACTAGATAAAACTATGTGGAATATTTCTACCATTTTGCTGCTTTTTCTGTTTAGGAAAATAATATTTTAATGCTTTATATTAAAGAAAAAAGAAAGTAGATGCAAGGTTTGGTGGTTCAATGTTATACATTTTGGCTGTCAGACTAGCTCTTTCCAGCATGTTCATTATGATAATGATTGTTCTCTGTACTGAGCGGTTTCATTCATTGTGGATGGTGAGTTTCTCCCCTGCCTGGGAATGGCCCTGTGGGCTCTGTGCATACTATGTATGCATCTGTATCACGTTTGTAGAGAGAAATAAAAATGCATTTGTGTGCAACGGCTGGCTAGGTTTCCTTCTTGTCAACTATGTGCAGCTGCATGGACCATTGAAACACGCTTTGCTAATTTAACAACACCACAGTAATTGCAAGAGGAGACTTTTCAAACCAAAGGAGCTTGTGTTCCTGCCTATGCTAGGCACTGACGCGGTCCCCATCACTGCGATAGCTGAGCACCTCACTGCCTGTAACACACTTATCTGCATGACACCCCTGGGAGGTAGGGCAGTGCTATGATCCCCATTTGTCTCCAAGTCCTTTATTTTACTAACTGTCTTGCCCAAGGTCACGCAGGAAATCTGTGGCAGAGTAGAGAATTCAACTCCCCATTCTCAAGCCCCAGGTCTGAACCTTAAGCATCCTTCCTAGACCATGCATAGTTTCTATAGAGATGAAAGCAAAGGTTAGACACGTCTGGCCCACTCAACCTCCCTTAAGCTCTTTTGCCCCCACACCACTGCCCCAGGAAGCATAGGCATCTGCATTGGCAAGCGGCTCCTGCCATTCTGGTCTCTCTTAAAATCCAGAGACCTGATTCTGATCAATGAGGGCAGTGGATTTACACCAGCATAAAACTGATGTAACAGAGTACAGTAGAGGGAAACTCCTGGGCTCTCCTCCCTCCTGCTTTACACTGTTGAATGACTAAAGGATGCACATTGGGCAGGAACGGATGGTTCCAGGGACACACCAGTTCATTTTCTCCATTGCCCACTATGCTACTTCGACCTGATGTTCGGCAGTAAATCCAGAGTGACACCTCCCAGCCAGGGTAACATCAATGCCATGCAGTACCAAGCCCGCTCCTGGCAAGAAGCTGTGCCAGGTCACCTTGGATTACCCAGTGCTGCTGAGGCCTTGCTTTAAATGAATGGTTCCAGTACAGTCAAGTGCCAGCAGCCAGAGGCCTGTGAAAAGGGCCCCACGCCTGTGTCACAAAGATCCCATGTACTGGCTAAAATTTATAAAAAACCAAACCACCGACATTTAAAAAAATACTAGAAAGGCCCAGAAGAGGGGCAGTGCTCATTCCCCTCACGTCGCTGTCTGAGGGTCTGGCTGGGCCTCAGCAGAGCTGGGCTCAGTTTCCAGATCTGCAGCAGCCTCCGCGTAAGCTGCTTTAATTCCTTTACAGCCGTCCCAGTTAACAAATCATGAGACTGTCCGGGGTTTGTACAAACCCCAAGGGCAGCACCTTCTGACCCAGGCAGTGTAAGTGGGTGTGAAGTTGCTGCGAAGCGCAGGGTGTCCTGAGCAGGACGGTATTCCTCGCTAACAAAGCATGACTCTGCCATACCATTTGCTCCCGCAGGATTGTAATTGGTTTTTGTAATTATAGGGACTGGAGGGTTCCGTTCGATTCTGTAGTTGATTTGTAACACTGTTTGGACTGGTGTTGGTGACTCTGATTCCTTGGCCATGGGGCCCTTGTAAATAAACCAGATAAATAAACGCTGCACAGTCTATTACAGTGTGTACAGCACCTGGCCCAGTGGGGCCTTCATCTCAGCTGAGGCTTCTACCGTAACACTTGTAATAACATGTCTTCCAAGCAGTGACTGGACCTCCCCTGCAGAGATGTTGCTGTACCAACATAGGCATAGTTTGACTTCTATATTTCGGGCTGGGGGAGGGAGGCAGCTCCAGCCAGGCTAGTGTGACCAGATGTCCCAATTTTATAGGGACAGTCCCCATATTAGGGGCTTTTTCTTAAATAGGCCCTTATTACCTCCCTGCCCACCCTCTGTCCCAATTTTTTACACTTGTCATCTTGTCACCCTAAGCCAGGCCAACTGGGTTACACATGGGGGAAAATTCCATGCCTGCCTGAGGCTTGCGGTTTGGGGAGCAATGCCCCCTTATACCCCTCCAAACTACGCCCATATGTACAAACTACACCATCATGCAGCATTGTGGTAGTATTTATAACCCATAAATGCCCTTAAAGGAAAACATTTGACAATGTCTCTGCTGTTACTTTTACAGACTGAGTATTTTAACATTGGCTCTAAAATACCTACAAGGATTTTAAACCAGATTTCAAGAGAGCACTTCTCCTTTTCCACCACCAGGTGTCTCTCAAACTGTTCTCTTCCTCCAGGCTGCCAGCTGTGCAGGAGGAGGTGCCCTGCACTCTCCTAGACTGGGGCCTAGAGCTGGCCTGGTGGGATTTGAGTTTGTTTACCAGCTGTGGTTGGTTTAGTCTCTTGAGAGACCTTAGAGACACGTAGGAGGTAAACAGCTGCCTTGCAGAGCGTGGACAGTACACAGCACACTGGTGATTAGTCTCTGTGATCGCCTGTGAGACACTGTTTAATTTTAATGAGCAAATGTCATGGGGAGGAAGGGGGAGGTGGAAACTGGAGATTTTACATAAGTTCCCTGCACCATTTATGGCATTACAGTCATTTCCACAGCAACCAGCTGCAATGCCACACACAGGATAGTTTGGTGTTCAGTAAAGTAATATACAGGGGAAAATCTTCCTGCATCAGTACAATGGGGATCCTGTACAAATGCATATGCACCCATTAAACTTTGAGAACTCTAGGTTTGCTCTCCTCTAGGTTTTTATGTGGCATCTATCATGGCAGGCAGGCAGTTGTGGGCACAAGCCATCTCACTGGGCAGCGCATGCCAACACATGCACTCGCTCAGTCACTGAAATGTGGGGCTCTGCAGGTGCATGCCTCACACCTACATTTGCAAATGCTGCCCACAAGGTGCCCCAAATGGTCTGGCACTAGAATGTTTTTCAGTTTCCATGCTTAGTGTCTCCTTAAAGGGAATGCCGTCAACTTAATAACAACACTTCTCACTTCTGTCTGCACAGCTTTACTTACCCTTAGTCAGAGGCAAGACTTCTGGCTCCCAGAAATGATCATGGTTCAAAGGAGCCTGGTTTCCCAGTACTTGGTGCATTCAACAGCACTTGGGAGCGAATGGGAGAAGTTGGGTGCTCAGAACTTTTGAAAATCTGGCCCCATTATTTAAGCACTTACAAGCGATGCTGAGTGCTGCTGAGAAACGCTGGCCACATTCGTGTAGAGTCAGCGTCACGCTTTTTCCCAGTTACTTGTGCGGGTCTGTCACACAATGCCAGGAGAGAGGACTGCATTGAAAAGAACAGGGAGGTGTGTAGGCAGGTGTAGTTCCTGGACATACTGCTAGCTTGCGTTTTGAAAAGAGATACAACTTCACGTTGGCCCTTTTATCAAACCGAACCCCAGCAGCTTGTGCAACAACATCCTGTTTTGAAAGGAAAAAGTTCATAGCTGTGGCTTTGTTTGAAGAGAAGCTTTAGGCGATGTCTGCACTGCCATTTTCAGCGCAAAAACTTTAGTCATTCAGGGGTGTGAAAAAACACCCCCATGAACGACAAAGTTTTAGCACTGAAAACACCAGTATAAATAGCGCCTCATTCGGGGTGGTTATTTTTTATCACTGGGAGAGCTCTCCTCCGGAGATAAAGCGTGACTACACTGCCCACGTCACAGTGCTGCCGTGGCCACGCTGTAACGTGGGCAGTGTAGACATACTCTTAGTTGTAACCTTACCTGCCTGGGACATATGTATGCATGTCTTAGGGTGTGTCTACACTGGCAAGTTTCTGCACAACAAGTTATACCATGTTTATTAGAGCGCTGGAATTAAACCGCTGTTGCATGTCCACACTGTGCTCCTTGTGACGGTGGAGCGCATCCACATTAGCAGGTCTTGCAATGGCAAAGAGAGCAGTGCATTGTGGTAGCTGTCCCACTGTGCAACTGGCCGCAGGGCGCTTTGGGAAGGTTTGCAATGCCTCATGGGGCAGGCACAGTGTCACATGATGCAGGTTTCCCAATCCCATTGTTCCAGGGGCATCCTACTACATTGCCAGCTGCTCTTCAACTGAAGTGGGGGTGGGGGGCAGAGTGTGTGACAGGGTGTGTGTGTGTGGAGGGGGGGAGGAGAGTGTGTGTTTTGAGGACAGCATGCTGTCTTGTACGTTCATACAGGAGCAGGAAGCAACCAGTCCTGAGGCAGGGAGAGGGGGAAACCACATCAGCCCCCGCCTCCCTCCCCAGCTCAATCACACACACACACACACACACACACACACACACACACACACACACCCACACACACACACACACACACACACACACACACACACACACACACAC